TGAGAAAGGTATTACTGTGCATTCTACCTGCTTTATTATTCGAGCAAATGAATACATGTATACTCATAATAAAATTAACAACAATCTGAAGCAGAGCTAAAATATTACAACTTTATCTCTCCCAATTGTTTTCACTTACGTAAAAAAGGTAATCATGTAAACTGCTGTAAAGTTATGTACACACCCTATGCCAACAAAATGTAACTGAACCACAACAGAGATTATGATATTCAAGCTTGTTATGTTTGTACTTCTGAGCCAAGAAACTTTGTCCTAAAGACGCAGACTGAAATTTCCAACTAGTACGGAGGGGAAAATCAGAATACACTACTCGTTGTAGTTCTCACTACAACTCATGTACAGGACTTTCTCTTTTAAAAGACAGATTCTGGAATTAAGTTTATTTGCCAATCTTGGAAAACAAACGAAATAGAGAAATCCCCTAATAGAAAACTAAGTTTATATATTTAGAAGCAATCAAATTGTATGTCATACCTCAAAGCAGTAATGAAGATAATTGGCTTTGTAATTCCTCCACTCCACAGCTACTGGGTAATACATAGATTTGGATGTTCAAACCAACTGACAGTAGCAAAATGAGATTTCCCTGTACCCAGTACCAAAATGAGATAATCCCCATGATTAAGACATTTTTCACTACTGAGAATACATGAAATTTAAATTGCTTAAATGCAGCATTCACTAAATTTCATTTTCAGAAGCGTATAAGAGCAGCTATTGAATACCTTTTCACAGAATCCCCTAAATCTCTTGAAAGATCACGTGCGTTAATATTGCCAAAGAACATCCCCATAAACCAGCTGACTGAAAAAAATGACTCAATTCTCTTTCTTTATCTTGGAAGAAGCTGTCGTCTGTGAGTCAGGAAGCTCAGCTGGCTTCTCAGGATGAACCAGAAGGAAATCACTTAAGAGACCTGTCTGTGTTTCTCTTCTGTCAAGGACACTGTTTACAATGGCGTCATAAGGGAAAAAATGAAGACATTCACTGGGTCAGAATACTGCATAAATTATTTCCCTCTTGAAATCACTTCCTTGAACCGCACTTTCCAAAATACCGGAGCATTCTTCTTTGATATTTGCTCATACTCCATCAGAGCTTCTTTGCTTTCATGAATTTTCTTCCAGGGTAATCAGCAGTTCACAAATCAGGAGGGCAGAGGACAGAGCAAAACTGTTTCTACACCAGTTTAAGAGCAATGCTTTTTGCAATGGAAAAATTTCCCTCACCAGTCAGAGATCCACCAAAAACCGGCTTCATAATAATCTTGGGAACAATCTGATTCTGCTTTATTATTACTATTTTTTAAACTTCATTAACTTCAGTCAAATTCAAACAAAAACGCTGTGGGAGAACTGACTAAACCTAATTTCCTTTTGCAATTTGTCTGAAAGTGCTTTCTTGCAAGATGTGCTCAGCCACCAGATGCTACTCTCCTACAGAATTTCAACTCGCCCCTCCCCTCCCTCTTGGGGGCAGGGAGAAGAGGGCTTCCCCAGGAGCACAAGGTGCGTTTTGAAACTGGTTAATTCGTGGCTGTAGGTGAAGGTATGTATATATTCCTTTCTAGAACTCAAAGATTGCTTCAAAGAAGGGGTTAGCAGAGATGAGGAACCAGACAAAGCCCTTCTTTCTGTTTTATCCATCAACACACTCCTCAATCTAAAGCAAGCTAATCCTCACAGCAAAGTATAAATCTTCAAACTACTAAGATTCCAAAGGCTTGCCATTCTCAAAAGAGGGCATGCCAGGTTGTATACTCTATAAAGCATTCTGAGCCTGAGATCAGATTTTGGACACTAAGGCCATGATGATCTATTTCACATTAAAGAAAGCAAGTCTGTTACAATTCCCAACAGAAAGTAGTCAATGTATCTGTTGTATTTACAGATTCCAACCTGAGAGCTGAGGCATAGCATATGTCTTGCTTTAACTGATACTGCATTTCTAAGTGGCTGCCTTTCTCTGCAACTCCAATATTCAAAACAAATATTAAATGTTTTCAAAATATTGACCCAAAATCTAATTTTTTTAAATGTAGGGAAGTGACCTCTCATTCAAGAGATGTCTCCCCACTTCTGGGAGAAAACAATGAACCACAAAGCAAAACAAAATAATCAATTTCCTACTTTTGGGCGCTCCCCCCCTTATTTTTAGGTTTTAAAATGAGGGAGGGGACTGGTCAACTTCAATTTATAAAGGTTCACAAGCTAAGAAATACTTAGGTAGTCCCTCCCTCACTCAAAATACTTCTAGCTTATGCTCGAGATAGTAAAAATGTGAGACAACATCTTAAGGAGCTGACAATAGAAGACAAATACACTGCCTAGCCTATTCACATGAAAAATTAGTGATATACCAACCATAAGTATCAAATGAAGAATATTACTTTACAGCAATGCCAAATCATGACAGAAAAGTGCCATGGCCATCTCATGTATTCACTGTCAGGGCCAAAAAATTCATTTTCATCCAAGTTCTCATCTACCTGTTCTACTAAGGAAAAAAAAAGTCATACTATTTTAAATAGTGCACCATGAAACAACTGTGTTTAGAACAAATTGAGCTATGAATCTTAGGGCCAATGAGTCCAACAATCCAAACTAATTGTTCCAAGAGCAAACAAATACTATGGGTGGCACTTGGGCAAGATTTTACAACCCTAGATTATAAATCAGAGGTGATGGTTTTGTTTCTCTTAGCACTGCTCTCAACAATTCCACCCAGCTTGAGGTTTCCTTGAAATCCAAAAATATGTGCCATCTTCTCTTCAAAGAATCTAAAAGAGAATCTTTAGAGAATCTCAAAGATTACCTACTGTCCCACAAAACACAATGTCTAGAGGTGCCTGGGTGGCTCAGTCGGTTAAGCATCAGCCTTCAGCTCAGGTCATGATCCCAAAGTCATAGGACCAGGCCTATCCCTGCTCAGTGGAGAGCCTGCTTCTTCCTCTGCCTCCCCCCCCCCACAAATAAATCTTAAAAAAGACAGACAAACACAACGTCTAGATGAGCACGGACCACATTCCAGATCTAACTGTAGAAAATGAATACCTACAACTTGTGAGATATACTCCCATTATGCAGGCTAAGAAAACAACAGCCATCATGGCCTCAGTGGCTTTGTTCCTAATTCAGGGGCCTGTCTGAAGGCCAGGTATTAGAGCAGAATATACACAGTCCTCCTAATCCAATTACTAACAAGATCAACTACCATACTGATAGTTCAGATTTTTCCCTTTTGTAGCAAAGCGCTTTTAGCAGAAATTGCTTTTTGTACACTTATATCGAGGCTGTGAAGCTTCCTTTTCACAGCTCACCTCAGGATTAAAGGGGAAAGTCTGGAAGTAAGGAAATGCTACAGAGCAGCTCCAGTCAGGCACTGTTCTTTCTACCTATGTGTCCTCAGGGGAGAAAAAGGCTGGCTGGGCCTCAGTTTCTTTAACTATAAATGTGAAAAATAAAAGGACTTACCTATTGAAGTGACTAAGAAAGATCAAAGACATAATCCAATTAAAGCAGCTGTGCCTGGCACACTACATGCAGTGTCCAATTAGCTATCACCTCATTTTACTCTTAAAGAGCTGAGGCATTGAAATCACTTGCACCTGAGTTCCGATCCCAGCTCTCTATGTTCTGAATTCCGTTGGATGGTATTTACTTAATTTCTTAGACCAAGGTATTTTAATCGAAGGCTTTATTCCACAGACCCCCTTGGCAGTTAAATTTCATTAAAGGTTAGCAAAACAAAGATGCAACTCCTGCTTCTCACCTAAGCTTTTCCCACTACTTGGTCCCAAGAACCCCTTTCTTAGAATAACCGAGAACATGGGGGCAGGGGATAAACCAAGGAACTGAGAGGATTAAACATCCAAAGCAGATATCGCACTATATGGAGTAGTTGCTTCTCTTCCTGGAAAGTTCTCTTAGAAAAAAAATCTCGAATTTTATGTGGCCCAAACTTCAGTGTTCAAGCATCTATTTCTTTCACTGGTAGACCTGGGTTTTCAGACCCGAAACATATTTAGCCCTCTAAGACATCCCCCAATCACTGTACTACATCAAATATCAACTGGAAGACCTCTATTACTTCAAACAGGTGACACCAAACTGCTTTCTAGTAAAACTAAAAGTTAAAAAAGGACTTAAATATAACTCCTAAGTTTTCCTTAGCACCAGATACTGTCACAACTAAAATGAGTTCACACACAACAGTCTGACTTGTGTAATGATCAGTGATGCCTTGTCATCACTCCTTAACACTCATCACAAAAAAAGGAACCAACCATGGAAAGTCAGAGCCCGGGGTTCTTAAAAAGAGCGTTCCTCTGACAGCAACTGTAGTTCATTATCCTCTCCCCTCACCAGCCCCGGTACATTCCCGGTCTTTGCCTACTCAGCAGATTCTCGCAAGCTGTGCCGTTTGATGTGGAATACATTTTAGCAGTAAAATTTTCGATCACTCACCAGCCAAATTCTCAACCACCTTTTCCAAGGCGAGGTGTTTTTACATTAAGTGTCTCCAAAATTCCGACCAAAATACTAACCGTCCCCCACTCCCCGCCACTCTCAAATCAAGAGACCTAAAGGGAGGTGCACAAAGAAACTAAATGAAAATTTCGGCAAAGGCAAACAAGTGAAAACAACTTAATTCCTCCGAAAATAACAATTATTTTGGAAGACAGAAGAAATTTAACTTTTTTACTTTAACGCAACCCCTCTCCTCTACTCCGCAGGAATTGTCCAGTATGCTCTCCCAACTGTTTGTCCCCCCACCCCGAGTTTTGTTGTTGTTGTTTTTTTTAATCTGACGTTAAGTAATGAACCACAGCATCGGGAATGATGAGAAAGCAATGACAAAGCTGCTTCCTGCCGGTCTTCTTCGCAGCACCCCAACCCCCCCCCCCCCCCCCCCCCCCCACCCCCCGTTCCCCTCCCCCCGAACACAATTTAAAAAGTTTCTCTCGGCGCCCGGCTTACCTTGACTGGGCTGCCATCATTCAGTTTTCAGAGCTCAAGGACTTCTGTCCATCGGAGCCTTCAACCCGCGGCCCTTCCGCCAGCGCCGCGCTCACCATTTGCTGGGGCCGGGCGGGGACGGTCTCCCCAGCGCGACTCCCCGGCGTTACCGGACTACCTGCTCCCGAGCCCGGGCGTCCTCAGTGCAGCCTCGGGCTCCGGCCTTATTGGCTCCCACTAAGCCTGATGGACATCCGGGCACTGGGGCCTCTGCAGGCGAACTACACTTTGGACCAGCTCGGGGAACGTCGCGTCCGAGTGCAGAGCCAGCGAAATCCCTCGGGGCGATTTCGCATGAAGGGAAACCGGAGAAGCCCACGGCCACAGCCCACCAGCGCACAGCTCCCAGCGAGCGGCACCAGAGCTCGGGCCGGCGTCGGAAGAGAAGCGAAATCGTATGTCGGCTCCCTGAAAGTTGCCGGAGTTCGCCCGAATACCCCCTGCCAAGAAAGTTCTGGTGGTACGGTCCGCCTCCTTAAATGGGCACGGCGCTCCGCCGGCCCGAGCCGGAGGCTGCGCCGGGCGGGGGCAGCGAGCCCGAACGCCGACGCACCCCGCGCGCCCGCTAGCTCGCGGTCGAGCCCCGCCTGCAGGCTCCTGGCTAGCGCTCTCTTGCCAGGTTTTAACAATGTACAAACACACCGCGGGAACACACAGTACCCGGCCGCTCAGAACTCCAGCTCCGATCTGAGTATTTGTTGAATATTGGGCCCCAAGAGGCTGCAGGGAGCGAGACACACAACCCCAGCAGCAGTAAACCACGTTCGCTCCTTTTGATCATTCCAATGCGTGCAGTCAGGAAATGTGCAACTAACGCACCCTTGTTTTACTTTGCTCGCTTTCGGTTTTGATTTCATTACATTGAGAAAACATTTACAAGACGCCCTTCCCTTTCTTGGGACAACATACAGATCACAAAGTAAACAATAACTCATTTTGGGGTTGTCATTTTAAAAAATCACTGAGGATGCAAACCATCAACGTAGTGAACACTCTTCAAGTGTTCAAGGGTACAAACCCAAACGGGTCCTACTAAGAGGACGAGGGAAGGCATTTGAGCGGTGCCTGAAGGTAAGCAGGGCAAACCTTACGTGGGCAGAGACGGAGGGCGGCTGGGCTACCCTATCTCGCGGGCTCCAGCAGCACACTGTAGGAACTGGAAACTTAAATGAATGCCTGCCCCGGAGACTCCTCAGTTCCCCCTGGAGCCGCTCCAGTGTTGCCCACCTCACAAAGAGGTACTCCGGACTGTATTACTAACAAGCCATGGAATACCGGCATGTTGACCTCTGGCGAGAAAACATACAATGCTGGGAGGAAGGCCCAGGGCATCTTTACGTGTGGTTCTGGAAGTGTAATCAGTGGACTCCAGGGAGTCCCCAAGAACCTCTCAGAGGTCAGAACTATTTTTAGAGTAACACAAAGACATGGCCTGTCTTTTTCACTGTGCTGACATTTGCAGTAATGGTGCAAAAGCAATTGTAACTGCTCGCGTGTTAGCACCAACCAAGGCAGTGGCTGCAAACGGCACTAATACCAGAGCATTCTTCACCACCACACACTAGCAGTTTAAAACAAGGAGCCTTTCCGAATGTCCTTAATAAAGCAAGCAGCAGGAATTACGACTTTCGTTAAATCTCAACAAGGCCTCAAGTAGAGGTCTTTTTGATGTTCTCTGTGAGAAAATGAGAAGTACAAACAGCTCTGCTCCTGCAGAGTGAAGGAAAGGAAAGCACTTGTGTAACTGAGTTGCGAGCTAAACCAGCTGTTTTGTCAGGGACTACCATTTTTAAGTGCAAGAACAACTGATGAACTGTGCGTTTTCTGACTTGGGTTTTCAGCAGTCATTTTCTCAAAAATGAACAAAGTGAATCTGTTTCCTCAAGGAAAACAACTGACAGTATTTATTGCCAATGATAAAACTGGAGCTTTCAAGCATTTCGGAAAACTTTACATCTGCCACTGTAAGCTTGATAGTGTCTCAATAATTAAAAGACTTTTCCAATGAGATCAGAGGACATAGTCCTGACTTCATTTTGCCTTCAAATCTGTTCTTCTTGTTGTTTTTTCCCCCTCCAGCTTTACCTGTTAACTCACGCAAGGGACCCAGTGGGCAAACATCCAGTGATGGGAACCGAAACTACCCCCTCTAGCAATAAGGGCTGCCCTCACATCAGCAAGACCCTGCGTGACTGACCCCAAGACAATAATCAACCTGACCTTTTGCTGCTCTGCTGCAGAGTACCCACCAATCTTTGTTGTGTTTTCCCTATATAAACTTAGACATATTCTCAGCACCTTGGAGACAGTTCTTAGGCCATTAGCCCATGGTATTCCTGGTACTGGCTTCACTGAAATAAATTCCTTTCTTGTTTCACCACCCCTGGTCTCTCAGCCTTTAAATTTTGTTAGCAGTAAATGGCAGAACCTGGTTTGTTTGTCGCTGCCTCCCACTCACCCCCCTGGCCAAGTGTTCCTGCACCCTTGGGCTCCAGTAACAAATTTTCTGCTGAGTCGGGCCAGGAGCTGTGCTTCCATTTTGTCCAGCCCTCTTAGGATTCCTGGTTCTCCGAGCAGCTGGTTGCAGGGCGCCAGAGCTCGTCTCTTCAGTTCCTAAATCAGGGACTACGACAGGTCGGAGACAACCACAAGTGATTAGTTGACCTCAGGCAGCCGGAGAGTGAAGAGAACAGAGCTGCCAAAACTTGTTTTGGGGACACTCCTTTCCCCTAGCCCCAAATAGGCACAAACTGCCTTTGCCACATTTGGTGAAGCAGAGAAATGAACTAAGGAGTAAGTGGGCCTAAAAGACTTTGTTCCTAGTAAATGCACGCTGGGCCCCATCCTTCTCTAGTTCCCTGCTGTCCGAGCTCCTTGAAACCATTTTGGGCTTGCGTGGTTCATTCGTTTGATTTGCAACAAGGAATTTATAGAATTTGTCATTAGAGGTACCGTTAGAAGGAGAGAAGGGACGAGTGGCAAGTAGAAAAGTCAGGATATGTGTTTGTAAGCTTTCTTGAAGTGTGTGTAAGAATGGGAAGTACTATTTCCATATCCCCTCACTGCCCCCTAAGGAGAATATTGGCTGACTAGTCTATTTTTAGCTATGACCCTATGACTAAAAAGAAGATAGTATTTTACTTTAACACCGCCTGGCCTATGTATATTAAGCGCAGAGGAAAGATGCTCCTGAATGATTCTCTTAGAGTTCTTCCCCCCATTCAGTTACCAACAAACAGGGCGTTTTGATTTGGCTCTAGCTTGTGGAGAAGCTGTTTGGTTCAGTTAGTGAAGCCCCAACTTTTAAGGAAGAATGAATGCTAACAGAGGTAGTCTTAGCTTCATTTAGTGTTTCTACTGTGTTCTTTCTGAACTTTTGCCTAGGATGATGGGAGATACTTCTTTTTCCAAAGAAAGTCCATTAGGACATACTTTGAATAAATGGTGGCAGAGGGCTAAAAAGCAACCAGAGAAAAAGCCTGTTTTGCAGGAGGGAAGACAGGAGATGGAGATAAAGGAATGTTAGTCCGAACTTTGAGTCTACCTCCACCCTTGCTGGGGGCACCCTGCCACCTCTGCCACCACCTCCTCCACCCTCCTGTTTCCGTACCACCACCGGTCTGGCTGGCACAGCTGGCTCCTTCATTATCCTTGGTGCTTCCAGTGCCATGGGCTCCTGCTCCCCCTACCTTCACCATCAAGGAGCAAAAAGCACCCCAAACTGTTGGGCCCCCTCTATACGAGGTGCGAACTAAAGCACCTCCCACATCAGCATGAAGGAGTCCAGGAGCTCCCCTAGACTCAACCCACCTACTTCAGATTTCCCCCCAGGAGCCCCAGGTAAAACTGACAGCGGGGAACAAACTGATGGACTTTTTAGGGGACACAGGTGCAGAATACCTGGTATTAAAGCAAATTCAAAGTTGTTAATTTAAAAAGACATGTCTTTGGAGTTATCAGAATTAAATACAAAACTGATTCTACCAAGGTTTACTAAAGGTCGAGTAAGTTCATGTTATCTCTGTTGCAATTGGTCAGCAAAAAGAAGACCCAAAGTGATGGCTAATTTAGTCTCTCTCATGAAGTTTTCATGGGTAATTGTTAAAAGCAAGTCGATTTTTAAGAAGGTTTATAAGTAAAATTTTTTTTTTTTTTTTTTTTTTTAAGATTTATTTGAGGAAGAGAGCAGTGCACATTCAAGGTGTGGTGGGGGCAGGTTGCAGAGGAAAACCAAGAGAATCCCAAGCAGACTCCCCACCGAGCCCGGAGGCAGACAGGGGCTTGAGATCATGACCTGAGTAGAAATCAACAGTCAGACACTGAAATCAACTGAGCCACCAGGCACCCCTAAGAGTAAAGTTTTAAACAGCTTTCAAAATCTTTGGTAAACTAATACTTTGAAATTTCACTAGTTAAATAACAAATTGGTTTGAACTCACTGTATATGTTAAGTCTTTTCCAAGTAAGATAAAATACTGAAACATTACTTACTAAACACAGGTTTATCTGCTTTTGGCCTCTTATTACAAAGAAAATAAAGATAGTTGGGCCTACTAGTAAACATATTTTATGCTTCACTGAAAGTTATACTATGAAAGAACATATTCCTTAAAATTATGAAATATATTTATAAATTTGTCAACCTAAAGAATTCTGGTTGTAACAGTTCACAGTCGGTTATTAAAGTTTTCACTGGATGTAATTAAGACTGCTAGATGTGATAAGGAGAGCAACTCTCTGTAGGGAAATTAAGATGTGCTTCTGATAAGAAAGGTTAGGAGAATGGGAGTACAATTTTGTTGCGGAAAAAGAAAGTAGTTTTGTCCCAAAACAAGACTAGTTAGAGAGAGAAAACTTAGGATAAAATCTGAATTTAAAAAACAAAAACAAAAAACAAAGCCTTGTGGAAGGTTTGTGAAGGGGAATCTTTGGAAAACAGTTTTGTGCATGTTCAGGAGTGACTAGGATTGCAATGAATGAATTTTAAAAGGACACTGGTATAAGACTGGAATTTGGGTTTCTTTTTTTCTTTCTGTAAAAATGACAAAGTTTTCTTAGATTATTGGTCTACTCTTGATAAGAAATTATAAACAAAGTTGTTTTTTTTTTTTTTAATCTGCCCAAAAAACCAGTTTCCATGTTTTGTCTTTATCAGGTCTTTGATTAAGAAGATTAAAACTTCTCATTATTAAAGAGGCTAAGTTTTTGCTAACGACTATGTAACCCATAGAATCTCTTATTGCCACTTGGGTTAAATAAATAATTAAATGTTATATTTTATATTGATTTGTAATTCTATCTAGGCATGTTTCTTTAAAACCTGAGGTTTTAAAAAAATGATTAATTTAAAAAATAATAAGACCTGAGGTTTTCTTTTCTTTTTTTTTTTTAATAAAGATTTTATTTATTTTATTTGACAGAGATCACAAGTAGGTGGAGAGGCAGGCAGAGAGAGAGAGAGGAGGAAGCAGGCTCCCTGCCAAGCAGAGAGCCCGATGTGGGGCTCGATCCCAGGACCCTGGGATCATGACCCGAGCCGAAGGCAGAGGCTTTAACCCACTGAGCCACCCAGGCGCCCAAGACCTGAGGTTTTCAACAATACCTCCCTAAAATTCAAATTCTAAATGAAGTCTTTTTGACTAATCAGGCTTGTTTATTTAGTATGTTAAATTACATGGGAAGCACTGTCAAATGATGATAAACCTTCTTAGGTTATACTGCATGGGCAAATGCTATAACTGTCCTAGAACTTTTTTATTTTATTTATTTGAGTGAGAGAGTGAGAGAAAGAGAGAGTATGAGGAGGGGAGGGGCAGAGGGAGAAGGAGAAGCAGGCTCCCCTCTGAGCAGGGAGCCCAATACAGGACTCAATCCCAGAACCCTGAGATCATGACCTGAGCAGAAGGCAGATGCTAAACTGACTGAGCCACCCAGGCACCCCTCTGCCCTAGAAATTATATGAAATTCTTAAAGTTTTAATATGTCCTGGTATGAGGCCATCCCTTGATATTCTACTTACTGAAATGCCATATGTCACAGAAAGAACTGGATCTCCTTATCAACTGCATTATAATGAACTCATCAGATCTTTAAGCAGCCCGTCTCTGAGTCTTCTGTCATTTACAATTATTGTTCTGATGCTCTTGCAAAACATGTTTCATCTTCAAGGAATCTCATGAAAAGGACTTTTGACAAATACGGGTTTCTGATATCCTTAAATCGCAAAACTAAACTGGATAAGAATTTCCAAAACTAATGGAAAAGTTGCAAACAGAACAAGATTTAGTAACAAGGAAGTAAATGAATTGAGGAAGATGTTTATAGTTTTTATGACTCTCCTTTGAAACACTGTTTGTTCTCTCATGTTTGCTCTTCCAGATTTAATGACATTTTTTTCTCTTAAAAGATCTATGACTTACAGAAATATGATAAAATAGTCCTTTATGAACGAATGGAAACATTCATCTTTTCTCCCAATCTGAACCTTCTAGAATTCAGAAACCCTCAGTAAGTATTCTCTTTCATGACAATTGTAATTAGTGACATAGATTTAATAAGAATCTGTTCTCCTTATAACGGAACACCACTGGAAACACTGGTTATATTACCAAGGCTTTGTGTGGAATGTCATATTTGACAGAGACATACATAGACTCAGATATGACCACATACTTTTAAGGAACGGAAATTGACTTTATGCAGCCAACAGACCCCCTTGAAGATGTGCCCGGATACTCTGCTTACCGAGTTCCCAGCAGCCTTACCAAGTGAGTCAAGAATGTCACTTCCTGGCAGATGCAGGACTTAGGATGCTTGGGGGACCTCAAGAAGAGAGGAATTCACCCAAATCTACAGGTATTGCAGTAGGATCTGATGGCAAGTATTTGACTTGACTTCTCACCTTTAGAGGCTATTAAAAGTTCAATCTGAAATTCCTTATTAAAAATTCCAGCAAGGGGCATCTGGGTGGCTCAATCAGTTAAGCATCTGCCTTCAGTGCAAGTCATGATCACAGGGTCCTGGGATGGAGCCCCACATCGGGCTCCCTGCCCAGTGGGAAGCCTGCTTCTACCTCTTCCTCTGCTGCTCCCTCTGCTTGTGCTGTCAGATTTAAAAAAAAAAAAAAAAAAAAAAAAAAGTTCCAGCAAAGCAGATGTAAAAGAACGTATATGGCCAATTACTATTCTTGCTGTGCTTATGTAAATAATTAGGCCAAGTTTGTTAAAAACTGGACTTGTTTTACAAACTGGTCTTACTATGGCTATCTTTTTGTTGGAAATGAGGGTGATTTTAGAGAGAAAAATGGTGTCTCAATAACACACTTTTGTGGATGTTAGATTCTAGTTTTGATTGTCTTTAAAGGTTTGTTGTTCACCTAACCT